CTGCCATAACATGTATTTTTGATGGGGATCTGACATCCTTTTTTACCCAACTTGTTCAACAAATCCTACTCAACGAAGATAAAAGTCAGCTTCTAATTGGGAGAGAACAATAGAAACTGAATGAATCAGCCTACCCGATTGTTTTTTTTTGTCTTCTTTTTTTTTTTTTTTTACTGCTCCAGTCAATGAAAGGGGAACTTTATTGAGGCCCCAGGGCCTTGGGGCTCGGGCAGGAGGCCGCCCTGCGGGCAAAGGAAGAGCCGGTGGAGGGGCCTTATTTGACCTTCTTTTTGGGGCGCAAGTTGTTGGTGTGGCCGCACTTCTTCTTGCGGCAGTTGACAGCGCGGGGGTGCAGGCGAGCATAACACTTGTGGCAGGTCATCTTGTCGCAGTTGTATTTCTGGGCCAGCTGGCGGAGGGAAGGCTCGATGATGCCACCCCAGAGGTGGCACCAAGTGCAGGGTGGACTCTCTGGATATTATAGTCTGACAGGGTACGGCCAGCTTCCAGCTGTTTGCCCGCAAAAATCAGACGCTGCTGGTCAGGCGGGATGTCCTCCTTGTCTTGGATTTTGGCTTTGACATTCTCAATGGTGTCACTGGGCTCAACCTCGAGGGTGATGTTCTTGCCCGTCAGGGTCTTCACGAAGATCTGCATCTCTGCGTCTGCTGGCCGCCGCCACTAAACCGCTCGGCCACCTAGCTGAAGAGAAAGAGGGCTGCGGAACCTCAACATACCCAATCTTAAAACAATTATAAAATCACTTTATGGAAATGCTTTATCAATGGGGATGATAGTGATGATGAAATATTGTTATATAGAATTCACGACTCCCTCATACTGCTTTGATTATCACCTTCATCCAGGATTTCAGACTTTGGATCATGAAGATCAGATTGCTTTGCTGAAAGGGTCTGCAGTTGAAGCTATGTTCCTCCGTTCAGCTGAGATTTTCAATAAGAAACTTCCAGCTGGACATACTGACCTACTGGAAGAAAGAATTCGGAAGAGTGGTAAGTGATTTGGTTAATGGTAAAGAGTTTGCTCCTGCAAGTAAGAATTAAATAGTTGAGGTGTTTAGAGGGTTGGTTCAAAAATCCTGGTTGTATTAGCAAAATACCAAAAATACTCTTTGCCATATATTAAGATTAAGGGCCAAAGGAGGAATTTTTTTAAAGTTTGGAAAATTAGTCTGATAAAAAACATAGCATACAGGAGCTGAGACAATTCAGTCCAAAAAAAAAATTCATTTGTTCAAAATCTTCATGTATGAATGACTATGAATCAAACTATTGCCCATCTCTATTCAAAGCAAAATAAAAGGAATTATTATTAGCAACATTTATACATCATTTACTAGGTTTTAGACACTGTCCTAAATACTTCACATATATGATTTCATCAAATCCTTGCAAAGTCCTATGAAGTAAGTACTGTTATTATTCAAATTTAATAGATAAGGAAACTGACACAGAGAGTGGTTAATAACTTTCCCAGAGACAGACGGGAAGTCTGACATTAGAAGCCCTGTCTAAACTACTGTACTACACTGCCTCTCAAGAGACAAAATAAAATAATAGTATGAGCTGAACTTAATATGGAGGAATACTGTGACAGAAAGAGCTAAGAGACATTGGAATAAATTTCCAGGAATTCTGTGCAATTTATCTTAGAAGAGTTTTAAAATAGTATAAGTTTTTATTTTCCTGAGATGCTTTATATATGGATTGGGAGGTGAGGGATGAATGAAATGAAATGATGGCTCAAGATCTTTTCTTTCCAAAGTATTATCTTTTTATGAATGACTAGAACAAGTTTAAGTACTTTTAAAATCAGTGTTTTAGAATAGATATTGGAAGGAAAGTTTTTAGGAAGTTCTGCATTTGCAATATAAGGAAAATAATTGAAAAATTGAAAATTATTTTTTAAAAGCAGCCATCCCATAATTATTGTGTTTTCTTCTCTTAAATACTGAAAGCATAATTATCATCATTGATGGATTTAAAGAATGCACATTTTAAAAAGATGCATTATTCATATATATCCATTGATTTATTAGTTTAACATATATTTAAGGGCAAGGTACTGTGGAGGTAGCAAAGAGAGGAATCAGGCATCTTCCTTCTCTTAGGAAGCTTATAGTCTAGTAGAAAGACATGAACTGTACATTGATAGTTTTAATGAAATGTGGAAGGAAAATGAGATAGGGGTGACTTCTAGTTGGTAAGGCTCTGGAAAGATTTCATTGGCAAGCTGGGCCTTGAATGATATTAGATATGAATATTCAGGGTGGAGGTATAAGAGAGAAGGACCAACAGAAACAAAGGACTGAGGCAAGAAAGCTCAGGTTATGCACACAAAGAAGAATGAGTAGTTGAGTTTGATTGGATTAAGGGTTACATCAAAGGGAAATAGAATTTTTTTAGAAGTCAGAATCAAATGGTGAGGACCTTGAATGCTAGGATAAAGGCTTTATTCTTTATTTTCTAAGAAATAGGGAGACATTGAAGATTTTTGAACAGGGGAGGAAAAACATCAGTCATGCTTTACAAATCTTCCAGCAATGTTAGGATAAGCCAGGATGGGAGACATCTCTCAGGAAGCAAGAGGTTTCAGGAACATGCTCTCAGAAGAAATAGAGAGAAGGGAAAGAGTCTGAGAAATATATTGTTGGAGATTTTCACCCTTTGAAAGACAGTATATTATCAAGAAATATGGATTCTGATTCTGGACAGATTTTATTTTACATGGTCTGGAATGTATTTTGTGTGTGTGTGTGTGTGTGTGTGTGTGTGTGTGTTCATTCATCTGTCCATTCGTCCAGGATGCTGGGGGTAAGGGAGAAGGGTTGAATCAGGTAACCTCCAAGGTACCATCCAGTTCTATAAGTCTTACTGCTTGTCTTCTCTTAACTAATCAATTTTTCTGACTGCTGGTTTAGCCAGTCACTTGGGCAGCTACTTGAGTATCTTGATTTTTTTTTTTATTGTGATAAGAACACTTAACCTGAGATCTACACTATTAGCAAAATTTTAAGTGTACAATACAGCATTGTTGCTTATAGGTACAATATTGCATAGCAGATATTCATCTTGCTTAACTGAAACTTTATGTCCATTGAGTAGGAGGGGGAAATGAGTTACTAATCAATAGGCACAATAAAGGAGATCTTTCTATTCAACAAATGTACATCGAATACTTGATTTGTGCCAAGCACTGTATAATTATTGAGGGAATGGAGATGAGGAAATATGTTCTTTGTCCCCTGAGGACTTATAGACTAATGGGTAAGTTGTATAAGCAAAGGATTCCAAAACAATGTGCAGCGTAATTGGGACTAGGAGGGATGTATATGCAAAATGAAATTGTAGTAACTGCTAGATTTTTAAGGACATTGGACACCATAAAAATAGCTTAATATAGTTCTTGTATAATGAGGAGTCTTTGTAATGTTCTGAGCAGATATGACATGACCATAGCAGTACTGTAGAAAAGTCTTTCAAGCAGTAATATGAAGGAAGTTTTAGAGGGATTGAGACAAGTCTATAAAGAAATCAATGCAATAACTAGGTGAGAAACTGTGAGGGTCTTGCAGGTTAAAAAATAGGTACTAAAATAGAAAAAAAAAACTTGCTTGATTAACATAGGTTTCAGAACTTGTGATTTTGCAAGTTTCAGGAAAGTTCAAGAATGAAATTTTCCAGAATACGAACTGTAGAAATAAATATGTATGCCTCTAGTTCATAAATAGATTACTTTACCCAAACATCAACCACATATTGTGACAATAAAACCCATTCAAACTCACATGCTGCTTCATATTTTATTATCTATAATGATGTTTCCATTTATTAATATTTATGAATTTGCTTCTCCCAGTGGATTTTCAGAACATTGCCTCTTCCACACACCACATAAAAACCTGATCTTGCAAGATGACCTTCCAGAATAACTTTTTATTCTTATGCAAATATAACACATTCTTCTTTCTATTGTACATTTAATTCTAGAGAAACATATCATCTCAAAGTTGCCCTGTCTATGCCTACAGAACTCTTTAAAGAATATAATGTGAAATTTCCTTTCTTGTTCTTCAAATTCATACTCTTTTGTTTGCTATTATTAAATCCCAATTACATACACAAAAGTACTGTCTCCTGAGATACATTTACTTAATGAGGATTATAGTGTTTTTTATGTTAACTGAGGCTTCAGAACATTATATCTAACATAACCTGTGGTTGGGTTATTTCTATATAATTCTAGTGCCTCAATTATATTATTCCTAATGTACTATTATGCAAACTAGATTTTAAAGCTGAAATATTTATTAAAACTAAGGATTATCATATGATACCATAAAATACGACAGCACTGAAATTGCTAACCTTGAATGAGTTTACATTTTAACATTAAGGAAATTAGCAATAACTTTTCACAGACCAATGCAAATTGTTCTGTTAACTTCAAATATAAAGAACCTCTGAAATTTATGATATTTTTGACCTTTTTTGATTCCCATAACAGACATAAATGAAATATTCAATTCATATGTGTTTATCAGGATGACAGTATTTATCTTGTGATTTTGTAATAGTTCGCTTTTATACACATCATCTTATTTGTATTCTCAATGGCCCCTAAAGGTGGGTGTTATGCTCCTATTTTATAGATGAGAAAACAGGCTTAGAGAAGCTAACTGACCTGCCCAATGTCCCACAGCTAATCAGCAGATTGACAGGAGATGAACACAGGTGATCCAACTCAAAGCCCGGTGCTCTTTCTATATGTTGCACCTGTCACTCACCGTGGTCTAATATTTGCTCTACTATCAGCTAGTAAGGAATGAAAAGACCTAGTAAAACACAGTTCCTGCCCTTTGGTTGAGAGAGAACATATAAGGAGCAGGTAGCTATTTGCAATTGGCTTTAGGTAAATGATAAAGTGAATAGAATCAGGGAGGTCAGAGAAATGAGAGATCCTTATTAGCATGATGGAGTTGTAGCTAGTTTACAGTAGCATGGTCAAGTGTACTCTGTGCAATATACTGGGCTTGTTTTTCTGCTCTTTAAATACACATGATTTCACTGCTTTAGCTTCGGCAACAAATGAAAACAATTTTAAGAACTAACTTTTCTAAAGAAGCTGATGTAAGCTGATTATCGGTTCAGATACTGACTTTGAAAAAAGGGTTGGAAATGTTAAGAACAAATAACAGAATATTTATAAGAAAAGTAAATGCATAAGTCAAAATTTAGAGTTCTTAACACCTCATTTTGCTTTTAAAAGTGGTCATGTAATTTTGGCATAGACAAATGTGGGGTTCAAACTGTAGGAAAAAGACATTTTCAAAATAAGAGAAAGTATTAAATTAATATAGGAGTCAGCATTTTCATTGGCTCTCAGCTGTGTTCCCTAAGCCTTTTTATACTTGTCCAGTATTGGACAATATGAATTTATTTATGTATCTGCTTCTTCCATCAATCTGTTGACTGCTAGAAGGTTATTCCCAGCATTATCACAGTGCCTGGGACACAGCTGATGTACAAAAATTGGTGAATTTTGTTGAGATGAATCTGGAACTTGACAATCCAAACCCTGGCAATTCCTAAGCACCAGTGAAATCTAACTTAGCCACATAACCTTTAGCCACTAGGGTTAATGGGAAGCATGTTATTTATTAAATATTTCAAATTAAATATTTTATTTTGAAAGTAATTGTTTTTTGAATTGCTAACTTGATGGCAGTTTTTCACTTAAGGCTAACAGTATGGCACAAATGACTCTCTGTGTAGAATTTAGCAGTTGAAATAGAGGTTAGGGTCCAATCTCTTAACACCATGAGAATGTTTCCATTGTCTTAAGGGCATCCCTTGCCCCATCATGTCTCACAACTATGTCACCTTCATTGCAAGGAACTAGCAAAACAGAATATTGCCCAATTTAACAAACATTTGTTAATTTCTACCATGTCTCCAACAGGATGCTGGTAACTGAGGATACAGAGATGAGT